GTCAGTATAATCCGCCATTTTATTTGAGTGTGTTTGCCACCCGACTCCGCCCGGTGACGTCATCATGTGCGCTATAGAAGGAGGTCTGTGATTCGTTGACTGAAATCGTCGATAGTGGGTCTCATTGAAATCTCGTTACATAGGCGTCGGATCAGATGTAGGTAGGGCGGAATTAAAAAAAAATCACAAAATCAAAATCAAAGTAAAATAATAAAATAAAAGGGCATTAATAACAAAAGTAATAAAAAATAAAATTAAAATAAGTTTATAGCCAAAATAATTAAAGCCCGTACACTACATCAGATTTTAATCAGATTGAGGATATGTAGACATATCAATATTAACAGAGACATGAGAATTAAATGAAAAAAACACATAACAATACAACTCCCTATAGAATACATTGTATGGGTCTACTACTATAATTAAGCTCCCTGTAGATGACAATATACAGAGATATGACTATAACTAAACTCCCATAGAAAGTCTGCTACTATAATTAAATTCCCCATAGATACAATATACAGATATATGACTATAACTAAACTCCCATAGAAAGTCTGCTACTATAATTAAATTTCCCATAGATGACAATATACAGATATATGACTATAACTAATCTTCCATAGCAAGTCTGCTACTATAATTAAATTCCCCACACCTAGATGACAATATACAGATACATGTACATGACTATAACTAATCTCCCATAGAAAGTCTGCTACTATAGTTAAATTCCCCATAGATGACAATATACAGATATATGACTATAACTAATCTCCCATAGAAAGTCTGCTACTATAGTTAAATTCACTACGTTCAATTACCCACCATAGACTCCGCTCAGTCAAAATGACTATTTTGAACTGTAGGCATTAATCAGTGATTCTGCCGGTGACGGAGAGATAGAATCCAGGTCAGGGGAAGCCCCATGACCTCAAGATTCTTTTACCCCTTATGTCACAAACCCAAGTGACCGAGGCCACCTGGCAGCGCCACCGGTAGCCGTCCTTCACTCTGATTTTCTCTCCGCCTCAAGTGGAGATGAAATCTAGCGAGCTCTGCTGGATCACCTGCTTTTTTTTTCCTGTCCGGATTTATAGCTTGCGTTGTTGCCGCTGCATGGCATCCGACATTGTAGCTGGTAGGATAAGTTTTCCTTG